CAGCCACCCAGGAACAGGCACAAGGACAGGGCGACTCGTTTGAACCAAGCTTGCCAAGGGCAGGCAAAGGAGCACAGCCCGGTTTCCTCTCAGCCACCGTCCCATGATCAGTCTCCAGGCGCGAGGGCCCTCGGAGTCAAATTTGCCACGCAAAAAGAAACCAACCCTCAAACCCCTCCCCCTCCCACCTCCCTTTCCATGCTAAGGGCCCCAGAGCGAGGAGTGGGGCCTGAGCGGGATAACTGACTGCGGTAGGATGGGGACATGGGGGGGGGGGGACTCTCGCTTTCTGCCTAATCCTGACGCAGGAAGATTTAGTAGGCAGGTTCCCCCTCCCCCCAAATCTCAAAATGGGAGAGCGGTGAAACGTTCAAAACATGCACACACCCCTTTCTCCTGCTTGGCCCAAAGAGAGTACTTAAAAATATTTGCCTGCCTGCCTGCCTGAGATGGTTGTCAGCCAATTCACAAGGCTTGCCTGCCTGCCTCTGCTCACGTGGGCCGTACTGTTAACTCACAAAGTAACTCCTGTCAGCAACCAAGAGCAGCACATTCGGAACCAGCCCTGGAGGAGGGGAGGGGAGAGGAGGGAGGCACAGCACGGCACGTTCGTGAGGGGGCGTTGCTCCCAGAGCTCCCCGGGAGCTACAGGTCTGGATGGTATCCACACGGTGGAGCAGAACAGGCCGTTGCTCCTTCAGAATGACCCCGGTAACTCCTAGATTCTTTGTAATTCTATGATACTCTGGTATATGTCGCTTAACATCAATGCAGAATCAGGATGTTAGAATGCTATTTTCCCCCCAGATGTGTCTGAACATTTTGAATAAATCCTTTGTTTAACAATCACTTGTTTGATTCTGGGTTGTATAATGCTCTGACCAAAATATAAAGCCACCTCAGACAATTTAAAATTTATGGTGCTTGACCTGCAAAGTAGGCAATAAATGAGAACGAAGTAAAGAATCTGTGCACAAGTCTTCTGAGAGTTACATGCTCGGAAACCCCTAACCACCAGTAAAGAAAAGCATGAAACGGTGGCAACTACTCCAGTTGAGCTCTGGAATTAAATCTGGTTGACTTGATCCCAACTGTGTTCAAATCTTCCCAAAACAGTTTTGGGAAGGACAAGCGCGTGGGAATACCAAGAATGTTTTGACACAGGACACTGCCCTTAGGACACTAGTGACTACATAGTTTCACTCCAGGATAAGTTACGTGACCACGTGAAACCACCTTATAGTGATGAGACCCTTCGGTCAGTACTGTCTACTCAGACTGGCAGCAGTTTCCCAGGGTCTCAGGAGGTCTTTCACCGAAAGCCTTTTAAAACTAGAAATGCTGGGGACTGAACCTGGGACCGTCTTCATGCCTAGCAGATGCTCTACTACTGAGCTACAGCCCTTCCCCAGTCCTACATATTTACTCTTAAATTACTTTGTTTTACTGAATTTAGTGGGATTATCCATATAAATATGAAGCGCAATGCTTCCGTTAGATCTCTTCTAGAATTCTGGTTTTTGTGGATATCATATGCTCTGAGCAAGCTATACTCACCCCTCCCCCTGCCTCTTAACTCCTGAAGGACAAGTCTGATGACAGGACAGCACGCGATCGGACTGGAAACAAAACTGCCGTTCTACGTGCTGTGATCTCAGCATTGCCCAACGTTAGTGTAATTCTTCAAAGAGCTGTTCCTCCACATGGGTGCAGAGGCTAAGTGCTGGACATGGAAGAGGCAGACAATTCTAACCATGAAGCTCACTACGTCATCTTGAAGCAGTCACTTTCCTCTTCTAAACAGAGTAGTTGTTTGGGGACATATAACCCCATTCATGTTTGCCTTGCAGTTCCTTGAAGAAAGTGTAGGATTGAAATACAAATAATAAAGGAATGTTTCCCTTCTCTAGTCCACTCTTTTTCTTCTGATTTTCCCATCTCAAAGACATAATTTGTTCTACTGTTTTTTTGACTTGGATTTCCATCCTGCCCTTTGCCTGCAGTTCAGGACAGATGATAATATTTTTAATGATATTCTTTTATTTTCCCTGTGTAACTACAACCAGCAGAGGAAATCGAAGGAGCTACAAGGGGTTTAAGACAAATAGGAGTTTGTGTGCAGCTTAAAAAAAAAAATCCCTACATGCTTATGTTTTACTTGCACATATAACGCCATAGGCAGCCTAGGAACTGAAAAGATTAATGAAATTAACCACCACCTAGTGCCACTACCTCTTCTCAAAGATAGAAACATAGTAGAGCCAGAAGACCTAATCCAATTGTATGGGTAGCTCACCCAAAGACCTCTGCCTCACAGGGCTGAGAGCTATGCCCTGTGACTTTGTCCTTTACATCAGCCACAGACGCCACAGAGCTCTATAGCATAGGCAGTAGTTTCCACTGGTCAGAGCACACCTACCATCTGGGAGGCTCAAGGCCAGCTTCTGGAGACACACACTTACATTGATCATAGCATTGGAAGTG